TTCATGCTTGACCGCTCAGAAAAAGGGTGGGAAATTTGCAATTAAAGTCGAGCCTGTCCATGACGGAATCACAAGGGAGGGAGCCAGAAAAAAATAATTCTGTGGTGGTCCAGAGGGCCTGCCTGTACATGGTGGGATCAAGGTCACCTGTCAGGTATGCAAGTCGTAACTTCTATGAGGCACCACCAAAGTGTTATCCTTCTCTCTCTCTGAGTGAATGTAATAAATAATAGCATGTAAGAGCACTGTTTGACCAACTAAAAACAGAAACCATTAGACATTTCCTTTGTTTTTGCCCTTAGTCCAGGGCTGCCAACCCATCTCCATCGTTTTTAGTAATGACCATGAAGAAAATTAGTAATTTCCCATAAAAATTAGCAATAATAATGCTCTCATTTTCAAATTACTATATTACATCGATAAAATCTATTTTTAGACTGCTTGGGTCTCAGCAGCGTGACAGCCATGCTTCTATGCTTCTACTCATGTACGGTATATTATATTGTGGGAAAGGCTAACTCACGCAAAGTGGGCCAGCTGTTCATTTTTTTTAGGGGCGCGGGGGTTGATTTAGAGATTGCCGGTTTTATGACTATTGGCGGTCGATTTACAGGTCTGCACTAAGACTTACTGCAAAATAATAAAAAAGAGCCAAAAATATTTTTTTATAGCCAAAAATCTGCTGACTGTAAAAATCATAATAAATCGCCTTACGATCCGAATTTCGTAGTGAAGCTAAAAAATCGAAATGGTTGGAAGCCCTGTTAGTTAATACGCACAATCAACCGATGTCACTACTCCAGTGCATAACAGCAATTCGAGGAACTTTTTTCTCTGCTAGCCGTATAACCAGGGTGGCAGCATTGGTCAAATTCATTTCACACCTCTGGCTACCCAAAAAAAAGTTTCCACCCAGGAGCACCACTCAAGCATTTTCACAAGTGGTAATGAGAATTCATAGAAACACTACCCTGACCATCTGCACTGCCCAGGGATCTCATAGGAGGGGTAACAGACACACCAGCCCACCCCTTTTCATCTTCCTCGCCTTGTGACACGGTAAAGGCTAGAACCAATGGAACAAAACTTGGGGAGCTTCGTTTCAAATCAGGGCTGGGCATATAGAGCATTTTCTGTCATGGGACAGGTCAAAGTCAAAACCCTCCAAAGGGAAGGAATTTCTTTTCCGTTTCTGGGTTGAGCAGGTTTTCGTTTAATACAGGTATCTGTAGAGGAACTTACCGGGAAGGGGG